GTCGATATTAGATAACCCAGGTAGTAATCTCTGTTAATCTCCAGTATTATTACATTGTTTGATACAATATTGTTTTATTTGAAATTATGTAATGTGAATTTTTATTTTATATTGGTTTATTTATTATTACCATATGTTACTTGTATTTATATTGTTTAAAGATATAAGTTAATATTGTGTCCAGTTTGGCCTTGTAAATAAAGGGGTATTATTTTTTGACAAAGTGTGTGCGGTTTCGTTTTCTTAAGTACGTGGAGCTCTCGGCATCTCGAAAGATTTTGATCTTTGTTCTAGTCCTCTTTTTGTCTCAAACTCTTGCCATGGTCCAAAATGTTTGAACAAAATAACAACAGCGTGAGCGTCCTGCAAAGCATAACCCAGTTGTCCACGTCTGTCGCCATGGTTACTATGGCAGTACGAGCGGAAACCGAGGGTAACGCGGATATGACGCCATTGACTGGCGGCGACTCACCCCTGCTGACACGTCCCGTTTCCTTGGTTAAAATCGCAATTTTCTCACGATTTACAAATAGTTGGAAACATTGGGGATATTGTAAGTAATCAACTAAACAAAATATTTAACATTGGCCTAGTGGTTTTTGGATATTTTACTGCAAAAATCCTACATATTGTACCTTTAAGAGGTGCAATAGGAAAGAGGGGCTCTTTCCTATTGCCACAGTTTGTCAAGACACTGGTTTTCATCAATGCTGCAAAAGATGCTTGCGTGAAAAATTTTTTTTTATTATATCTTAATGAATAGAAGAAAAAAACCTTCAATATCCATGTCCATTTGTTCAGATGTCTTTAGTCTGAATGCTCCTAGTGCAGTCAGACCATCTCAGGAGGTACTCTGAGAGTAAAGTGGGGTTGGCTTATAACGTGTATAAAACATCAGCTACTGTATAAGACCAACTAGAAGCTTCTGCTAATCAGTGAAAGCATGAGCGGTAACGCCTACTTGCCTTTCAGCAAGAACTACTTGGTGTATGTTATGTCACCTAATTAGGATTCATGGGTCAAGCTGTTTCTTTTCAAATCTACTAAGTCAATTTTTAAAACGGTTAAATGCAGGGGTTTCCCTTTTGCTTGTTTTGTTTCAATGTCTTACACACTATAGTAAGTTGCTCTTTGTTGCTAGACCTCAAAGTCCTTTAGGTCCTCATTACAACTCAACAGTTAACTATGTGTTCTATTTCATTGCTGAAGTCTTATGGTTGCACAAACACTTGCGGTATTATGAAGTATCTGCTTACATGGATCATCGCAGATCATATGATTTTGGGTGAGAGCCATACTTTAAGCAGATACCCTCCAAATAATAATTTAGTAGTGTCATGGTTTATACTCTTGTGAAAGCTAAATGTTGTCTGACAATCACATGGTCGCTTGAGAGGTGCCTGCTGGGGCACAAATAATGTATTATACACTGGTTTAGTGGCATGTTATGTGCCACTGTTACCTCTGATTGTTCCACATTTCAGACATGGATGTGCAGATGTGCCTTTTTTCCCATTCACAGAGTTTGCTCTTCCTGAGATGCATTACGAGGAACCTGTCAGAGCTGTGAGAACAATTGCTGCACAAATAGCACTGTAGATAGTTTTAAAAAAAGGTGAAGGAGGTGGAACATGTATACGGTACAAGATTGAGTGCAGGGTGTGGCATCATGTTAAAGGGATAGGTAACCAAACTGCTAACGGTAGCCATTGGCTTCCATAGTAGGCTTCCAAAAAATAAACTATGGAAGTGGATGGCTACCGACAACTATCTGGTTACCAACGTCCTTTAAAACAATTTATTTTGTGTTCAGCAGAAGAAAGAAACTCATGCAGGTTTCAACAACTTTGGGGGTGAGTAATGCCGAGTTCAGACTGCACGATTTTAGCCCCGATTTTGGCTCGCCGACAGGTTTTGAGAAATCGCCGACAAATGCCCGAAATCACAGGCAAATCGGTGCTCGTTCACGCGAGTGACAATCACGCAGTGTGAATGAGCAAAGACGCGATCTGAGAGAATCGCCGACGAGTCGCCGACGCCCGTGAGATATTTGGCATGCTAAATATCTGGACCTGTCGGCGATTCACAATCCTGCTGTGTGAATGTGTTCTGACTGAAAACTACATCGGCGATGACCGACAGCCAATGAGAGAGCAAGATACAGGGAGGAGGAGTTATAGACCAGAATATCAGAGAATATCAGAGATTTTCGCTACAAATCAGTGCACAGACAATTTGTAGGCTATCATTTTTAATAACAAATTCAGTGTTGCGCGAGAACTCCGGTCTCACGCACGCGTGATCTTCCGTTATTTCCTATCACTTCTCGCGTTTGTTTGGTTGTGAAACGTATTTTGCGGACCAGGCAGAAGTTGTCGGCGATTCTTTCTTTTGTAAAGTCATGCAGTGTGAAACCTCCTGTCGCCGATCCATCGTGCAGTGTGAACACAGCAGCAACTGAATGTTACCCCAGATAGTCATGCAGTGTGAAAACAGCTGTGACCCGATTATTTTGAAAATCGTGCAGTCTGAACTCGGCATAAGTAATAACAACATTTTCATTTTTGGGTGAACTATCCCTTTAAGAGGCAGAACATCTAACAAGCTGGGAGTGAAATAATAAGCTTTTGCAGTGCTTGCTAGGGAGTTCTTGAGTACACAGCATTGTAGGTTTTCCCCGTCTTCTTTCATAAATACTGGCTTTAGCCAACAATAATATAATAAGGATTTTTTTTCCTGGCTTTGGTTTTTACAGCTTCCATGTCTCATGTTTTACATTTCTCCTACTGTGGACTTTGTTTTACTGAAATTGCATGCATACTGTAAACAATTATATGATCAATAAGTGTGTTTTTACATTGCTTTTACTCAAAAGCTTGCAGCAAAAAGTTGAAATTGCTTAACTTATTTTGATAAACAAAATTCAGTTGAATCTTGTATAACTTAAGTCAGACTCAAGTCAGTTTGATGTAGTTTAGGTTGAAATGACTTAAACATCCAAGTTGATTGTATACTAAATTTAAGGCAGCAACTTTTTTTTTTTTTTTTTTCACAGTGCAGGGAGTTCTGATATCTATTAAGTGCAAAATATTGTGCATTATGTTGTTGCATGTGTGATGCGATTTTTTTTTTTTTAAAGAATTTGTAATTTAACAACCTGTGACAGTCACATAATAAAATCTAATATACAAGCCTTGTGATCTTTCATTTATTTGCCCAGAGTTTTTTTTTTCTCTTCAGTGTTGTTTATAATGTTGAGGCTGTCTATCCCCTTAATATTTGTCCACCTCTCTAATAGTCCTTTAGCATAAGTAGAATATTTTGTGTACAATTCAAATGGGTCGCAAATGTTTTGTGGTCTGTGCCATATCGAGGGAAGCCAGATTGACTCTCTCAAATGATCTTTTCTGTATACTGTCCTGCCCCGTCTTGCCTGGAGAACACTGGTCAACATGGACTCAAAATTAGGCCTCTTTCTCCCCATATTTAGTGGGAGGCAAGTGTTATTTATAATTTAGGGGGGAGGGAATGTTCTCATTCTAGAAAGTAAACAGAATTTCTCCGGTCCATTATGATGAATCTTTTTAGAGTCCCTATTCCCAGAAGAGAGACTGTACATTTTAAAAGGATACATCTTATAAAGGTGAATTATCAACTTTTAGAACTTATACTTTTACTTATTTAAGAATATAACATTAAACATTATCTAAGAATATACTTTTCTTACTTATAGATTAACTAATATAGACAGACTAAAACACAGAATAAAAGCAACAACTTTAACGTTTAACTATGATTTTTTTATTTTTTTTTTATTCTTGAATAACCATAAACCTTTGCAGTTCCTTGACCATTGCTGAAAGAGTAAATATATTTAAATTTATATTTTTAACTTTATCTATCATTGCTCAGTTTCATGAATTGTGGAGAGTTTCAGCCTTCAATATTTTACAGCATTGTATTCACACATTTTATTTTGAGTGTACATTCCTTCGGTAATCCACTAAGGTCAGGGTCAGGCTTTTTTCAGAAGTGGGTATACTTACTATTTTCAAGGGAGCATTCAGGTTACTTAAATAACTCTCATACATGATCCCACCAAATTCATGATCACATGATGAGACGAAGCTTCTTTCAATTTTCGTCTACAGATTTGACTTTAGTTGTGCTTGGCTTTCTCTACAACAATTCGTTTTGTTTTCCTTTTGATTTAAGCAACGTGCTTTTTGTACTTTTTCTCTTTCACCATGTGCCCAGTTTCTCATTATTTCCTCATATCAGATTCTAGAGATTTAAAAATTCTGGATCTAATTAATTATTTTGTAGTTATGTTATTTTATATTTATATTGTTACTGCTATTACATACAGTTATTCTGAGATCATACAAGAAAATAAATTCAGTGACACTGCATCAAGTATATAATTTATAATTAAAATGAATAAACTTTATTTGAAAATGTTAGTGAAATATGCAAGTAGGTGTTCTCATATCCAAAAGGTCCTGTGTAATTGTAGTGTGGATGATTGTGAGGGGGTGATATCTCTAAAACAAATAACTTATTGTTTTTGAAAGCTGGAATGCCAGGCCCACGTCAGCTAAATAACTCCATGTTAAGCAATGCTCATCAAGTAAAAACCTCCCTGCTCTGCAAACTACTGTTTGATATTCATTTTAAGGATATCAAACGGTTTTAAAAATGTTTAAGCTGTATATTAAACTGAGCCTAATACATTTAGTGACTGTAGCGTTTGGCTTATTTGCAATACATAAGAAGTTATTGCTCTTGTTGTGAAGTGTTTTATGCTGTGTGTGCAGTGCTTTGTGTCCATGCTGAAGAAATACATGGAATACAGATAGTCTGTTCAAACTAGAAAGATGTGCTAAGTTCCCAAAGAGAAATCATGCTTGTTTAATCAACTTTTTGTTGGAGATTGTATTGCCATCTAGTGGTCACAGGTTGATCCTCATTTACAGTTTTTTTTTTTTGTGTGTATTAAGGAAAGATCAAGTGCTGACACGGTCCACACTAGGGGGCAGGCGAAGAAGCAACACATTTAGAGGTATACTGAATGAATAGATGCATGTTATAGCTATGTGATGTTAATAGCTACATGTAATTTACAGCATAGCAATTGATAAAGTTTTGTATAACATTTTTAGATAATTGCTTGTGCTCATTTATAACTCAATCAAAACTACAGATTAGGCAACATATACCTAGTATATTTGGTATTGTATTATAACAGTTCTACTGTTTCAATGTACATTGTGTAATGTTTTCTCATTTTATTTATTCATTGATTATTTGTATTTTTTTTTAAAGATGGCTGACGAGCAGGAAACAAGGGAAGTGCTTTACCCACAGTGGATGGGCCCTGATAAGCATGGGCTCACCATAGAACAAAAAGGTCAAGGAGAGATTTTTGTCACAGAGGTTAAAGAAGAGTCCCCTGCTGCTCATACTGGAAATGTGTATGAAGGTATGTAGTTAAAATAACCCTGCATGTTCTGATGGATTGTGCAAACATTTTATAAATCTTATTTTCTAATGTTTCTAGAATGTTTGATACTTAGAGCAACATTTGAGCGGCATTCCCTTTGTTGGTGTTGAGCTATTGTCTGTGAGCTAATGCTCTTGTAGTTCTTCCAAATACAATTTACATATTGTTTAGTTTGAACTTTCCATGTACTGCCCTTTGTAACAGGTGACCAAATTGTGGGGGCCACCATTTACTTTGACAACATGAGCTCAGAAGAAACCGCTGAGCTACTGAAGACTCTAAACCGACATAAGGTTGGACTAAAATTACAAAACAAGACTGGAGACAAGTCACCTTGCCGCTCTCCAATGGGAACATTGTCGTGGGAAGGACGTGGAGGGTTAGGAGGCTCTAGTTCAGACATTCTCCTGGTAATGTGACCTCAGTTGTTGGTCCATGTGTTATATGGTACCAGCACCATGACCATGTGAACCATACATTTTATTAATTTTAAATGTTGTTATTCAGTATTGGTACACATTGTATTAGAACAAACATTGTTACAGTCAGTGTCAACTAATTTTAGTTTCATCAGTATTTCCATATTTAACTAATTTAACTTTTATTTGTATATTTGTTTCTTACATTTAAATTTCACACAGACATGGAATATCATACTAATATTGTAATTCCTTTACTTTAGAGTGGAGATGACGAAGACTACAAAAGAATCTTCACTAAGAAGATTAAACCTAGACTGAAGTCTGAGGATCTTGCTGAGGGTGTTGATGTGCGTACAGAGCGTCACAGCAGCACAAGCAGTGATGGTTGCACCGTTACTACAATCACTCGGAGAATAACTACCTACACTGTGGACATGCCGGGGGGGACTAGTCAGCAGATTGATTCCACAAGCCCTGAGTTCAAAATGCAGGTCTTGCAGCATGAGCAGTCAGAGGGGGATTCTTCTCAAATCAGATTACCACATAGTAGCCTTGTTAGCAGTGCACACGGAGGTATAAAAATGGGGGACATATCTCTTGGCGGGCCCCATATCACTGGCTCCTCTGTGAAGCACTGTAGCACAGGATCTATCACAGCAACAAGTGAATTAGAGGGTAGTGGGAGAGAGATTGCATTTAATGTGTCAGACACTGGATTGTCAGGGGGGAAAGGACAGAGGATGATAGAACGTTTTGGAAGGACTGAAACTTCTACAGGCAGTAGTAATCTCTCTGGCAAAGTAACCATGGGGTTAGACAAAGAAGTGGGAAATGTTTCTTCTCCAATGGAAGCTGGTTTTAAACCATCAAGTGTGATAAAAGAAACTGGGTTTGCTACAGTTAAGGGCCCTGTTCTGAACACTCGTGTTTCAGGTTTTTCCATTAGTGGAGATTCAGGGGGCAGTTTTGGCAGGGAATCTTTGTCTGAAGCGCTTAAGGATGGGTCTGATGATAAAACCAAATTGTCTAAATTTAGCATAGATGTTCAAGGGCCCAAGGTAAATATTAAACTACATGAAATCAGCCAGGGTTCGGATTTTGCCATCCCAGATGTAGACGGTAAAGTCAAGTTACCAAAAGTCGAAACTAGGGGATCAGTTGTTCACGCAGAGGAAATTGGTGGTGAACTCAGGATATCCCATGTGAAAGAACCACAATTTGGAACTAGGCAGTTTACTGTAGAAAGTCCTAATGTAGAAGTGAATCAAAATCTTAAAGATGTTAGTCAAAGAGATTTTAGCTTAACTGGCAATCAGGATCTGTCAGCTTCATCATTTAGAGTGAAAGGCACTAATTTGGAGGGCTCCAATTTGGGCACTGATGTAAAACTGTCCTCATTTGGACTTAAAGGTCCAAAGTTTCAGGTACCTGATACAGTAGTAAGTCTCCCCGGAGCTAACGTTAAAATTACACAACCAGATATGGACATCAGGGGTCCAGAAAAACACATTGAAGGACATGAGGGTAAAGTCAAAGAAGCCAAATTTAATGTGCCATCAATCTCTGGTCAGGGAACTTATATGCCACATGTGGACTTAAACCTGAAAGGACAAAAAGTGAAAGGAGATGTTAATGTGTCCGTTCCAAAGGTTGAAGGGAACATTATGACACCAAAATTTGATATTAAAGAATCAGATCGTGAGAGTGCTAAGGGTGACTTTACAGTTTCAAAGGTAAAAATGCCCTCATTTGGAATGAAAAGTTCAGAAGAGAAGGGTTCAAATGTTGATCTAAATCTTGCAAAAGCAGAAATGGAGATTAAAGCAAAAGATGTAGATATCAATACCATAGAGCTTAACATTGAGGGATGTGATAGGCAAGTTAAAGACAGCAATGTCAAGATAACATCAATTTCCGGTCCAAAGGTTTCTGTACCTGATGTGAACTTAAACGTGAAAGGGCCAACACAGAACGTCTCCACTCTAAAAGTGAAAGGAGATATTAAAGCACAGAAAGTTGAAATTGAAGGCCCTGGCATTGAGGATTTTGAGGGTGGTTTTAAGCTACCAAAAATCAAGATGCCTTCCTTTGGAATCAAAGGTCCAAAAGTGGAGGCACCTGATGTTGACATAAATCTTCGCAAAGCAGACATGGAAATTAAAGCTCCAGATGTGGATATCAAGGGTCCAGAGATGGAAAAATCTGATGAAAAAATTAAGGGGTCCAAATTCAAGATGCCATCAATCTCCGGTCCAAAGATTTCCATGCCAGATGTGGACTTCAACCTGAAAGGCCCAAAACTTAAGGGTGATGTTGACGTGTCTATTCCAAAAGTGGAAGGAGATATTAAACCTCCTAAAGTCAATATTGAAGGCGCAGACCTTGAGGGTCCTGATGGTGGGTTTAAGATGCCAAAAATGAAAATACCATCATTCGGACTTAAGGGTCAAAAAGTGGAGGGTCCAGATATAGACGTGAAAATCCCTAAAGCCAATATTGAGTTTAAAGCACCAGATGTGGATATTAAAGCTCCAGAGCTTGACATTGAAGGACCTGAGGGAAAAATGAAGGGCCCCAAATTCAAGATGCCATCAATATCCGGTCCAAATATTTCCATGACAGATGTGGACTTCAACATGAAAGGCCCAAAACTTAAGGGTGATCTTGACGTGTCTGTTCCAAAAGTGGAAGGAGATATTAAAGCTCCAAAAGTCAAAATTGAAGGCCCAGTCCTTGAGGGTCCTGAGGGTGGGTTTAAGATGCCAAAGATCAAAATGCCATCATTCGGACTTAAGGGTCCAAAAGTGGACGGTTTAGATGTTGATGGGAAAGTCCCTAAAGGCGATATTGAGGTTAAGGCACCATATGTAGATATCACAGCTCCAGAGCTTGACATTGAAGGACCTGAAGGAAATATCAAGGGCCACAAATTCAAGATGCCATCAATTTCCGGTCCAAAGATTTCCATGCCTGATATGGACTTCAACCTGAAAGGTCCAAAACTGAAAGGAGAAGTTGACGTGTCCGTTCCAAAAGTTAAAGGTGACATCAAAGCACCAGAAGTAGATGTCAAGGGCCCAGAGCTTGACATTGAGGGACCTGAGGGAAAAATCAAGGGCCCCAAATTCAAAATGCCATCTATGTCTGGCCCAAAGATTTCTATGCCAGATGCTGACTTCAACCTGAAAGGTCCAAAACTGAAAGGTGATGTTGATATGTCCATTCCAAAAGTGGAAGGAGACATTAAAGCACCAAAAGTTGAAATTGAAGGCCCAGACCTTGAGGGTCCTGAGGGTGGTTTTAAGATGCCAAAGATCAAAATGCCATCATTTGGAGTTAAAGGTCCTAAAGTGGAGGGCCCAGATGTTGACATCAATCTCCCAAAAGCAGATGTTAATGTTAAAGGACCGGAAATTGACATCAAAACTCCTGATCTTGACATTGAGGGACCTGAGGGAAAAGTCAAGGGCCCCAAGTTCAAAATGCCATCTATGTCTGGCCCAAAGATCTCTATGCCAGATGTTGACTTCAACCTGAAAGGCCCAAAACTCAAAGGTGATGTTGATGTGTCCATTCCAAAAATGGAAGGAGATATTACAGCACCAAAAGTTGAAATTGAAGGCCCAGACCTTGAGGGTCCCGAGGGTGGTTTTAAGATGCCAAAGTTCAAAATGCCATCATTTGGAGTTAAAGGTCCTAAAGTGGAGGGCCCAGATGTTGACATCAACCTCCCAAAAGCAGATGTTAATGTTAAAGGACCTGAAATTGACATCAAAAGTCCTGATCTCGACATTGAGGGACCTGAGGGAAAAATCAAGGGACCCAAGTTCAAAATGCCATCTATGTCTGGCCCAAAGATTTCTATGCCAGATGTTGACTTCAACCTGAAAGGCCCAAAACTCAAAGGTGATGTTGATGTGTCCATTCCAAAAATGGAAGGAGATATTACAGCACCAAAAGTTGAAATTGAAGGCCCAGACCTTGAGGGTCCCGAGGGTGGTTTTAAGATGCCAAAGTTCAAAATGCCATCATTTGGAGTTAAAGGTCCTAAAGTGGAGGGCCCAGATGTTGACATCAACCTCCCAAAAGCAGATGTTAATGTTAAAGTACCTGAAATTGACATCAAACCTCCTGATCTTAACATTGAGGGACCTGAGGGGAAAATCAAGGGCCCCAAATTCAAAATGCCATCTATGTCTGGCCCAAAGATTTCTATGCCAGATGTTGACTTCAACCTGAAAGGCCCAAAACTCAAAGGTGATGTTGATGTATCAGTTCCAAAAGTTAAAGGTGACATCAAAGCACCAGAAGTAGATATCAAGGGTCCAGAGCTTGACATTGAGGGTCCTGAGGGAAAAATCAAGGGCCCCAAATTCAAAATGCCATCTATGTCTGGCCCAAAGATTTCTATGCCAGATGTTGACTTCAACCTGAAAGGCCCAAAACTCAAAGGCGATGTTGATGTGTCCATTCCTAAAGTGGAAGGAGATATTAAAGCACCAAAAGTTGAAATTGAAGGCCCAGACCTTGATGGTCCCGAGGGTGGTTTCAAGATGCCAAAGTTCAAAATGCCATCATTTGGAGTTAAAGGTTCTAAAGTGGAGGGCCCAGATGTTGACATCAATCTCCCAAAAGCAGATGTTGATGTTAAAGGACCTGAAATTGACATCAGAACTCCTGATCTTAACATTGAGGGACCTGAGGGAAAAATCAAGGGCCCCAAATTCAAAATGCCATCTATGTCTGGCCCAAAGATTTCTATGCCAGACGTTGACTTCAACCTGAAAGGCCCAAAACTTAAAGGTGATGTTGATGTGTCCATTCCTAAAGTGGAAGGAGATATTAAAGGACCAAAAGTTGAAATTGAAGGCCCAGACCTTGAGGGTCCTGAGGGTGGTTTTAAGATGCCTAAGATCAAAATGCCATCATTTGGAGTTAAAGGTCCTAAAGTGGAGGGCCCAGATGTTGACATCAATCTCCCAAAAGCAGATGTAAATGTTAAAGGACCTGCAATTGACATCAAAACTCCTGATCTTGACATTGAGGGACCCGAGGGGAAAATCAAGGGCCCCAAATTCAAAATGCCATCTATGTCTGGCCCAAAGATTTCTATGCCAGATGTTGACTTCAACCTGAAAGGCCCAAAACTCAAAGGTGATGTTGATGTATCAGTTCCAAAAGTTAAAGGTGACATCAAAGCACCAGAAGTAGTTATCAAGGGTCCAGAGCTTGACATTGAGGGTCCTGAGGGAAAAATCAAGGGCCCCAAATTCAAAATGCCATCTATGTCTGGCCCAAAGATTTCTATGCCAGACGTTGACTTCAACCTGAAAGGCCCAAAACTCAAAGGCGATGTTGATGTGTCCATTCCTAAAGTGGAAGGAGATATTAAAGCACCAAAAGTTGAAATTGAAGGCCCAGACCTTGAGGGTCCCGAGGGTGGTTTCAAGATGCCAAAGTTCAAAATGCCATCATTTGGAGTTAAAGGTTCTAAAGTGGAGGGCCCAGATGTTGACATCAATCTCCCAAAAGCAGATGTTGATGTTAAAGGACCTGAAATTGACATCAGAACTCCTGATCTTAACATTGAGGGACCTGAGGGAAAAATCAAGGGCCCCAAATTCAAAATGCCATCTATGTCTGGCCCAAAGATTTCTATGCCAGATGTTGACTTCAACCTGAAAGGCCCAAAACTCAAAGGTGATGTTGATGTATCAGTTCCAAAAGTTAAAGGTGACATCAAAGCACCAGAAGTAGTTATCAAGGGTCCAGAGCTTGACATTGAGGGTCCTGAGGGAAAAATCAAGGGCCCCAAATTCAAAATGCCATCTATGTCTGGCCCAAAGATTTCTATGCCAGACGTTGACTTCAACCTGAAAGGCCCAAAACTTAAAGGTGATGTTGATGTGTCCATTCCTAAAGTGGAAGGAGATATTAAAGGACCAAAAGTTGAAATTGAAGGCCCAGACCTTGAGGGTCCCGAGGGTGGTTTCAAGATGCCAAAGTTCAAAATGCCATCATTTGGAGTTAAAGGTTCTAAAGTGGAGGGCCCAGATGTTGACATCAATCTCCCAAAAGCAGATGTTGATGTTAAAGGACCTGAAATTGACATCAGAACTCCTGATCTTAACATTGAGGGACCTGAGGGAAAAATCAAGGGCCCCAAATTCAAAATGCCATCTATGTCTGGCCCAAAGATTTCTATGCCAGATGTTGACTTCAACCTGAAAGGCGCAAAACTTAAAGGTGATGTTGATGTGTCCATTCCTAAAGTGGAAGGAGATATTAAAGGACCAAAAGTTGAAATTGAAGGCCCAGACCTTGAGGGTCCTGAGGGTGGTTTTAAGATGCCTAAGATCAAAATGCCATCATTTGGGCTTAAAGGTCCTAAAGTGGAGGGCCCTGATGTTGACATCAATCTCCCAAAAGCAAATGTTGATGTTAAAGGACCTGAAATTGACATCAAAACTCCTGATCTTAACATTGAGGGATCTGAGGGAAAAATCAAGGGCCCCAAGTTTAAAATGCCATCTATGTCTGGCCCAAAGATTTCTATGCCAGATGTTGACTTCAACCTGAAAGGTCCAAAACTCAAAGGTGATGTTGATGTATCAGTTCCAAAAGTTAAAGGTGAAATCAAAGCACCAGAAGTAGATATCAAGGGCCCAGAGCTTGACATTGAGGGTCCTGAGGGAAAAATCAAGGGCCCTAAATTCAAAATGCCATCTATGTCTGGCCCAAAGATTTCTATGCCAGATGTTGACTTCAGCCTGAAAGGCCCAAAACTCAAAGGTGATGTTGATGTGTCCATTCCTAAAGTGGAAGGAGATATTAAAGCACCAAAAGTTGAAATTGAAGGCCCAGACCTTGAGGGTCCCGAGGGTGGTTTTAAGATGCCAAAGTTCAAAATGCCTTCATTTGGAGTTAAAGGTCCTAAAGTGGAGGGCCCAGATGTTGACATCAATCTCCCAAAAGCAAATGTTGACGTTAAAGGACCTGAAATTGACATCAAAACTCCTGATCTTGACATTGAGGGACCCGAGGGGAAAATCAAGGGCCCCAAATTCAAAATGCCGTCTATGTCTGGCCCAAAGATTTCTATGCCAGATGTTGACTTCAACCTGAAAGGCCCAAAACTCAAAGGTGATGTTGATGTGTCCATTCCTAAAGTGGAAGGAGATATTAAAGCACCAAAAGTTGAAATTGAAGGCCCAGACCTTGAGGGTCCCGAGGGTGGTTTTAAGATGCCAAAGTTCAAAATGCCTTCATTTGGAGTTAAAGGTCCTAAAGTGGAGGGCCCAGATGTTGACATCAATCTCACAAAAGCAAATGTTGATGTTAAAGGACCTGAAATTGACATCAAAACTCCTGATCTTGACATTGAGGGACCCGAGGGGAAAATCAAAGGTCCCAAGTTCAAAATGCCTTCCATATCTGGTCCAAAAATCTCTATGCCAGATGTTGACTTCAACCTGAAAAGTCCAAAACTCAAAGGTGAAGTTGATGTAACAGTTCCAAAAGTTAAAAGTGACATCAAAGCACCAGAAGTAGATATCAAGGGCCCAGATTTTGACATTGAGGGTCCTGAGGGAAAAATCAAGGGCCCCAAATTTAAAATGCCTTCTATGTCTGGCCCAAAGATTTCTATGCCAGATGTTGACTTCAACTTGAAAGGTCCAAAACTCAAAGGTGATTTTGATGTGTCCGTTCAAAAAGTGGAAGGAGATATTAAAGCACCAAACGTGGAAATTGAAGGCCCAGACCTTGAGGGTCATCAGGGTGGTTTTAAGATGCCAAAGTTCAAAATGCCATCATTTGGAGTTAAAGGTCCTAAAGTGGAGGGCCCAGATGTTGACATCAATCTCCCAAAAGCAAATGTTGATTTTAAAGGACCTGAAATTGACATCAAAACTCCTGATCTTGACATTGAGGGACCTGAGGGAAAAATCAAGGGCCCCAAATTCAAGATGCCATCTATCTCCGGTCCAAAGATCTCCATGCCAGATGTTGACTTCAACCTGAAAGGGCCAAAACTGAAAGGTGATGTTGATGTATCAGTTCCAAAAATTAAAGGAGACATTAAATTACCAGGAGTAGATCTCAAGGGCCCAGAGCTTGACATTGAGGGTCCTGAGGGAAAAATCAAGGGCCCCAAATTCAAAATGCCATCTATGTCTGGCCCAAAGATTTCTATGCCAGATGTTGACTTCAACCTGAAAGGCCCAAAACTCAAAGGTGATGTTGATGTGTCAATTCCTAAAGTGGAAGGAGATATTAAAGCACCAAAAGTTGAAATTGAAGGCCCAGACCTTGAGGGTCCCGAGGGTGGTTTTAAGATGCCCAAGTTCAAAATGCCATCATTTGGAGTTAAAGGTCCTAAAGTGGAGGGCCCAGATGTTGACATCAATCTCCCAAAAGCAAATGTTGATGTTAAAGGACCTGAAATTGACATCAAAACTCCTGATCTTGACATTGAGGGACCTGAGGGAAAAATCAAGGGCCCCAAATTCAAGATGCCATCTATCTCCGGTCCAAAGATCTCCATGCCAGATGTTGACTTCAACCTGAAAGGGCCAAAACTGAAAGGTGATGTTGATGTATCAGTTCCAAAAATTAAAGGAGACATTAAATTACCAGGAGTAGATCTCAAGGGCCCAGAGCTTGACATTGAGGGTCCTGAGGGAAAAATCAAGGGCCCCAAATTCAAAATGCCATCTATGTCTGGCCCAAAGATTTCTATGCCAGATGTTGACTTCAACCTTAAAGGCCCAAAACTCAAAGGTGATGTTGATGTGTCCATTCCTAAAGTGGAAGGAGATATTAAAGCACCAAAAGTAGAAATTGAAGGCCCAGATCTTGAGGGTCCCGAGGGTGGTTTTAAGATGCCAAAGTTCAAAATGCCTTCATTTGGAGTTAAAGGTCCTAAAGTGGAGGGCCCAGATGTTGACATTAATCTCCCAAAAGCAAATGTTGATGTTAAAGGACCTGAAATTGACATCAAAACTCCTGATCTTGACATTGAGGGACCCGAGGGGAAAATCAAGGGCCCCAAATTCAAAATGCCATCTATGTCTGGCCCAAAAATTTCTATGCCAGATGTTGACTTCAACCTGAAAGGCCCAAAACTCAAAGGTGATGTTGATGTATCAGTTCCAAAAATTAAAGGAGACATTAAATTACCAGGAGTAGATCTCAAGGGCCCAGAGCTTGACATTGAGGGTCCTGAGGGAAAAATCAAGGGCCCCAAATTCAAAATGCCATCTATGTCTGGCCCAAAGATTTCTATGCCAGATGTTGACTTCAACCTGAAAGGCCCAAAACTCAAAGGTGATGTTGATGTGTCCATTCCAAAAGTGGAAGGAGATATTAAAGCACCAAAAGTTGAAATTGAAGGCCCAGACCTTGAGGGTTCCGAGGGAGGTTTTAAGATGCCAAAGTTCAAAATGCCATCATTTGGAGTTAAAGGTCCTAAAGTGGAGGGCCCAGATGTTGACATCAATCTCCCAAAAGCAAATGTTGATGTTAAAGGACCTGAAATTGACATCAAAACTCCTGATCTTGACATTGACGGACCTGAGGGAAAAATCAAGGGCTCCAAATTCAAAATGCCATCAATCTCCGGTCCAAAAATTTCTATGCCAGATGTTGACTTCAACCTGAAAGGCCCAAAACTCAAAGGAGATGTTGATGTGTCCATTCCAAAATTGGAAGGCGATATTAAAGGACCAAAAGTTGAAATTGAAGGTCCAGAGCTTGAAGGTCTTGAGGGTGGTTTTAAGATGCCAAAAATCAAAATGCCATCATTTGGGCTTAAAGGTGCTAAAGTGGAGGGCCCAGATGTTGACATCAATCTCCCAAAAGCAAATCTTGATGTTAAAGGACCTGAAATTGACATCAAAACTCCTGATCTTGATATTGAGGGACCTGAGGGCAAAATCAAGGGCCCCAAATTCAAGATGCCATCTATCTCTGGTCCAAAGATCTCCATGCCAGATGTTGACTTCAACCTGAAAGGGCCAAAACTGAAAGGTGATGTTGATGTATCAGTTCCAAAAGTCAAAGGAGACATTAAAGGACCAGAAGTAGATATCAAGGGCCCAGAGCTGGACTTTGAAGGACCTGAGGGAAAAATCAAGGGTCCCAAATTCAAGATGCCATCAGTCTCTGGTCCTAAAATGTCTATGCCAGATGTTGACTTCAACCTGAAAGGGCCAAAACTGAAAGGTGATGTTGATGTGTCCGTTCCAAAATTAGAAGGAGATATTAAAGGACCAAAAGTTGAAATTGAAGGCCCAGACCTTGAGGGTCCTGAGGGTGGTTTTAAGATGCCAAAGATCAAAATGCCATCATTTGGCCTTAAAGGTCCTAAAGTGGAGGGCCCAGATGTTGACATCAATCTCTCAAAAGCAGATATTGAGGTTAAGGCACCAGATATGGATATTAAAACTGCAGAGCTTAACCTTGAGGGACCTGAGGGCAAAATCAAGGGCCCCAAATTCAAGATGCCATCAATCTCCGGTCCAAACATTTCTATGCCAGATGTTGACTTCAACCTGAAAGGTCCAAAACTTAAAGGTGATGTTAATGTATCTGTTCCAAAAGTTAAAGGAGACATTAAAGCTCCAGAAGTAGATTTCAAGGGCCCAGAGCTTGACTTTGAAGGACCTGAAGGAAAAATCAAGGGGCCAAAACTGAAGATGCCATCAGTATCTGGCCCTGAAGGTCCTAATGTTGAGGTCAATATTCCGGAAACAAATGTTAAAAAGCCAAAGTTCAAGATGCCAAAATTTAAAATGCCAAAATTTGGTTTTAAGTCACCCAAAGGAGATATTGATGTTAATGTGCCCAGTAGTGATGTCAGTATTAAATCACCAGACATTGACATCAAAACCCCTGATCTGGACATTGATGGACCTGAAGGAAAAATCAAAGGTCCCAAGTTCAAAATGCCTTCTATGTCTGGTCCAAAGATCTCTATACCAGATGTAGACTTCAACTTGAAAAGTCCAAAAGTCAAGGGTGATATGGATATCTCTGGACCCAAGATTGCAGGTGACATAAAGGCTCCAAAAGTGGACATTGAAGGTCCTGATTTTGATATAGAGGGCCCAGAGGGTGGCTTGAAGATGCCTAAATTCAAAATGCCATCATTTGGATTCAAAGGACCTAAAATGGAGGGCCCAGATATTGACCTCAATCTCCCAAAAGCAAATGTTGATGTTGAAGGACCTGATCTTGACATCGAGGGACCTGAAGGGAAAATAAAAGGTCCCAAGTTCAAAATGCCTTCTATGTCTGGTCCAAAGATTTCTGTGCCAGATGTTGACTTCAACCTGAAAGGTCCAAAACTGAAAGGTGATGTTGATGTGTCCATTCCAAAAGTGGAAGGAGATATTAAAGCACCAAAAGTTGAAATTGAAGGCCCAGACCTTGAGGGTCCTGAGGGTGGTTTTAAGATGCCAAAGATTAAAATGCCATCATTTGGAGTTAAAGGTCCTAATGTGGAGGGCCCGGATGTTGACTTCAAAACTCCTGATCTTGACATTGAGGGACCTGAAGGGAAAATAAAAGGTCCCAAATTCAAAATGCCTTCTATCTCTGGTCCAAAGATCTCTATGCCAGATGTTGACTTCAACATGAAAAGTCCAAAATTCAAGGGTGATATGGATATCTCTGGACCCAAGATTGCAGGTGACTTAAAGGCTCCAAAAGTGAACATTGAAGGTCCTGATTTTGATATAGAGGGCCCAGAAGGTGACTTGAAGATGCCTAAATTCAAAATGCCATCATTTGGATTCAAAGGACCTAAAGTGGAGGGACCTGATGTTGACATCAATCTCCCAAAAGCAAATGTTGATGTTGAAGGACCTGATCTTGACATTGAGGGACCTGAAGGGAAAATAAAAGGTCCCAAGTTCAAAATGCCATCTATGTCTGGTCCAAAGATCTCTATGCCAGATGTAGACTTCAACATGAAAAGTCCAAAGGTCAAGGGTGATATGAATGTCTCTGGACCCAAGATTGCAGGTGACATAAAGGGTCCAAAAGTGGACATTGAAGGTCCTGATTTTGATATAGAGGGCCCAGAAGGTGGCTTGAAGATGCCTAAATTCAAAATGCCATCATTTGGGTTCAAAGGACCTAAATTGGAGGGTCCAGATGTTGATATCAATCTCCCAAAAGCAAATGTTGATGTTAAAGGACCTGAAATTGACATCAAAACTCCTGATCTTGACATTGAGGGACCTGAAGGAAAAATAAAAGGTCCCAAGTTCAAAATGCCTTCTATGTCTGGTCCAAAGATCTCAATGCCAGATGTAGACTTTAACTTGAAAAGTCCAAAGGTCAAGGGTGAAATTGATATCTCCGGACCCAAGATTGCAGGTGACATAAAGGCTCCAAAAGTGGACATCGAAGGCCCTGATTTTGATATAGAGGGCCCAGAAGGTGGCTTGAAGATGCCTAAATTCAAAATGCCATCATTTGGATTCAAAGGACCTAAAGTGGAGGGACCTGATGTTGACATCAATCTCCCAAAAGCTAATGTTGATATTGAAGGACCTGATCTTGACATCGAGGGACCTGATGGGAAAATAAAAGGTCCCAAGTTCAAAATGCCATCTATGTCTGGTCCAAAGATCTCTATGCCAGATGTTGACTTCAACTTGAAAAGTCCAAAGGTCAAGGGTGATCTGAATGTATCTGGACCCAAGATTGCAGGTGATATAAAGGCTCCAAAAGTGGACATTGAAGGTCCTGATTTTGATATAGAGGGTCCAGAAGGTGGCTTGAAGATGCCTAAATTCAAAATGCCATCATTTGGATTCAAAGGACCTAAAGTGGAGGGCCCAGAAGTTGACCTCGATCTCCCAAAAGCAAATGTTGATTTTGAAGGACCTGATCTTGACATTGAGGGACCTGAAGGGAAAATAAAAGGTCCCAAGTTCAAAATGCCTTCTATGTCTGGTCCAAAGATCTCTATGCCAGATGTTGACTTCAACTTAAAAAGTCCAAAGGTCAAGGGTGATATGAATGTCTCTGGACCCAAGATTGCAGGTGACATAAAGGGTCCAAAAGTGGACATTGAAGGTCCTGATTTTGATATAGAGGGCCCAGAAGGTGGCTTGAAGATGCCTAAATTCAAAATGCCATCATTTGGGTTCAAAGGACCTAAATTGGAGGGTCCAGATGTTGATATCAATCTCCCAAAAGCAAATGTTGATGTTAAAGGAACTGAAATTGACATCAAAACTCCTGATCTTGACATTGAGGGACCTGAAGGAAAAATAAAAGGTCCCAAGTTCAAAATGCCTTCTATGTCTGGTCCAAAGATCTCAATGCCAGATGTAGACTTCAACTTGAAAAGTCCAAAGGTCAAGAGTGATATGAATGTCTCTGGACCCAAGATTGCAGGTGATATAAAGGCTCCAAAAGTGGACATTGAAGGTCCTGATTTTGATATAGAGGGCCCAGAAGGTGGCTTGAAGATGCCTAAATTCAAAATGCCATCATTTGGATTCAAAGGACCTAAAGTGGAGGGCCCAGATATTGACATCAATCTCCCAAAAGCAAATGTTGATTTTGAAGGACCTGATCTTGACATTGAGGGACCTGAAGGGAAAATAAAAGGTCCCAAGTTCAAAATGCCATCTATGTCTGGTCCAAAGATCTCTATGCCAGATGTAGACTTCAACATGAAAAGTCCAAAGGTCAAGGGTGATATGAATGTCTCTGGACCCAAGATTGCAGGTGACATAAAGGCTCCAAAAGTGGGCATTGAAGGTCCTGATTTTGATATAGAGGGTCCAGAAGGTGGCTTGAAGATGCCTAAATTCAAAATGCCATCATTTGGATTCAAAGGACCTAAAGTGGAGGGCCCAGATGTTGACCTCGATCTCCCAAAAGCAAATGTTGATTTTGAAGGACCTGATCTTGACATTGAGGGACCTGAAGGGAAAATAAAAGGTCCCAAGTTCAAAATGCCTTCTATGTCTGGTCCAAAGATCTCTATGCCAGATGTTGACTTCAACTTAAAAAGTCCAAAGGTCAAGGGTGATATGAATGTCTCTGGACCCAAGATTGCAGGTGACATAAAGGGTCCAAAAGTGGACATTGAAGGTCCTGATTTTGATATAGAGGGCCCAGAAGGTGGCTTGAAGATGCCTAAATTCAAAATGCCATCATTTGGGTTCAAAGGACCTAAATTGGAGGGTCCAGATGTTGATATCAATCTCCCAAAAGCAAACGTTGATGTTAAAGGAACTGAAATTGACATCAAAACTCCTGATCTTGACATTGAGGGACCTGAAGGAAAAATAAAAGGTCCCAAGTTCAAAATGCCTTCTATGTCTGGTCCAAAGATCTCAATGCCAGATGTAGACTTCAACTTGAAAAGTCCAAAGGTCAAGGGTGATATGAATGTCTCTGGACCCAAGATTGCAGGTGACATAAAGGCTCCAAAAGTGGACATTGAAGGTCCTGATTTTGATATTGAGGGCCCAGAAGGTGGCTTGAAGATGCCTAAATTCAAAATGCCATCATTTGGATTCAAAGGACCTAAAGTGGAGGGTCCAGATGTTGACCTCAATCTCCAAAAAGCAAATGTTGATTTTGAAGGACCTGATCTTGACATTGAGGGACCTGAAGGGAAAATAAAAGGTCCCAAGTTCAAAATGCCATCTATGTCTGGTCCAAAGATCTCTATGCCAGATGTTGACTTCAACTTGAAAAGTCCAAAGGTCAAGGGTGAAATGAATGTCTCTGGACCCAAGATTGCAGGTGACATAAAGGCTCCAAAAGTGGACATTGAAGGTCCTGATTTTGATATAGAGGGCCCAGAAGGTGGCTTGAAGATGCCTAAATTCAAAATGCCATCATTTGGATTCAAAGGACCTAAAGTGGAGGGCCCTGATGTTGACCTCAATCTCCCAAAAGCAAATGTTGATTTTGAAGGACCTGATCTTGACATTGAGGGACCTGAAGGGAAAATAAAAGGTCCCAAGTTCAAAATGCCATCTATGTCTGGTCCAAAGATCTCTATGCCAGATGTTGACTTCAACTTGAAAAGTCCAAAGGTCAAGGGTGATATGAATGTCTCTGGACCCAAGATTGCAGGTGACATAAAGGCTCCAAAAGTGGACATTGAAGGCCCTGATTTTGATATAGAGGGCCCAGAAGGTGGCTTGAAGATGCCTAAATTCAAAATGCCATCATTTGGATTCAAAGGACCTAAAGTGGAGGGCCCAGATGTTGACCTCAATCTCCCAAAAGCAAATGTTGATTTTGAAGGACCTGATCTTGACATTGAGGGACCTGAAGGAAAAATAAAAGGTCCCAAGTTCAAAATGCCTTCCATATCTGGTCCAAAAATCTCTATGCCAGATGTTGACTTCAACCTGAAAGGTCCAAAACTGAAAGGTGAAGTTGATGTATCAGTTCCAAAAGTTAAAGGTGACATCAAAGCACCAGAAGTAGATATCAAGGGCCCAGAGCTTGACATTGAGTGTCCTGAGGGAAACATCAAGGGCCCCAAATTCAAAATGCCATCTATGTCTGGCCCAAAGATTTCTATGCCAGATGTGGACTTCAACCTAAAAGGTCCAAAACTAAAAGGGGATGTTGATGTGTCCATTCCTAAAATGGAAGGAGATATTAAAGGACCAAAAGTTGAAATTGAAGGCCCAGACCTTGAGGGTCCTGACGGTGGTTTTAAGATGCCAAAGTTCAAAATGCCATCATTTGGAGTTAAAGGTCCTAAAGTGGAGGGCCCAGATGTTGACATCAATCTCCCAAAAGCAGATGTTAATGTTAAGGGACCTCAAATTGACATCAAAACTCCTGATCTTGACATTGAGGGACCAGAGGGAAAAATCAAGGGCCCCAAATTCAAAATGCCATCTATCTCTGGACCAAAGATTTCTATGCCAGATGTTGACTTCAATTTGAAAGGTCCAAAACTCAAAAGTGATGTTGACATGTCCATTCCAAACACTGAAGGAGATATTAAAGCACCAAAAGTTCAAATTGAAGGCCCAGACCTTGAGGGTCCTGAGGGTGGTTTTAAGATGCCGAACATCAAAATGCCATCATTTGGACTTAAAGGTCCTAAAGTGGAGGGCTCAGATGTTAACATTAATCTACCAAAAGCAGATGTTGATATTAAAGGACCTAAAATGGATATTAGAACTCCTGATCTTGACATTGAGGGACCTGAGGGCAAAATCAAAGGTCCCAAGTTTAAAATGCCTTCCACATCTGGCCCAAAGATCTCTATGCCAGATGTTAACTTAAATTTAAAAGGCCCCAAATTCAAGGGTGATGTGGATGTTTCTGGACCAAAGATAACAGGTGACATGAATGCTCCAAAATGGGACATTGAAGGTCCTGATATTGATATTGAGGGCCCAGAGGGTGGCATAAAGATGCCAAAAATCAAAATGCCTTCATTTGGAATGAAAGGCCCTAAAGTGGAGGGTCCAGATGTTGACATCAATCTCCCAAAAGCTGATTTTGTTATCAAAGGACCTGAAATTGATGTTAATGCTCCTGATCTTGACATTGAGGGACCTGAGGGGGGTTTAAAACATGTTAAGTTCCCAAAATTCAAAGGGCCCAACTTTGGAATAAAGTCTTCGGGTGGCAGTCTTTCAGTACCTGAAAAAGATATTAAGGCGAGCGGTGATGTCAACATTAGTGGACCAGATGCTAACATCAAGGTTCCAAAAACCAAGAAATCTAAATTTTCACTTGGAGTTAAGAGCCCAAAATTGGATGCAGATATTCCTGATGCTGGTGGTAGTTTAGATGGACCTGATATGAAAATAGATGTAAAAGGAAAAAAGGGTAAATTCAAATTGACCAAAGGGAAAGGGAAGTCTAAAACTTTTGATGGTGATATGAAGACTGAAATTGTCAAGTTGGAGACAAATGATCCTGATTTACAGTTGAAGTCAACCAAAGTAAAGAAACCTTTTTTTGGAAAGTTACATTTTCCTGATGTGGAATTTGACATTAAATCTCCAAAAGTTAAAGGTAGTTCATCTGCGTCTGGAACTATAAAATCATCTGATGTTGATTTGCCATCTGCAAGCCTTAAAACTGATATTCAGACACCAGATGCTAGTCCGGATTTCAAAACAAAAGGGGGGGAAATAAAAATGCCAAAAATCAGCATCACTGGCTCTAAAGTAAAAACTCCTGAACTGGATGTTAGAGGTGGAACATTGGAGACCTTGCATTCCCCAGATGTCAGTCTAGCAGGATCAGGCATTAATGGAAAAGGCAATGTTAAAATTGATATGGAAGGAAAAACACAGGGGACAGTGCAGTCTGTAAATGTCCATGGCGTGGCTTTAGATGCTGATTTAAATCTCACTGAACGAAAAGGAGTAGAAGGGAGCATTGAAATACCAGGCTTTAATGTGAAGGGACAAAAGGGAGTGGCTGCAAGTGGGTTAGGCATGACGCCAGATGCTTCATTATCTGGGGTTGAGTACCCAGAAGGTAATGTAACCTTTCCTAAAATCAAAGTACCAAAGTTTGGTGTTGCATTGCCTAAAGTAGAAGGAAGAGAGATGGGCGTAGATGTAGGTTCAGGTAAATTGGCTGCTGGTGTTAAAGTTAGTTCCCAAAGTCTAGAAATGCAGAGCACTGATATGAAAAGCAGTGGTGGAAAAATGAAAGTCAAAATGCCAAAACTATTTTTCAAATCTAAATCTAAAGGTGGCAGTGCAGCTGATCTTTATGTTGAGGGAGAAGATGCTGATCTTACAACTAAAGGTGGTGCAAAAGTGTCTAAGGAGTTAAGTCTTAGTTCTGGGGAATTGATAAGTGGCAAGTTGGCAGTAGAGGGAAGCTCTGGAGTTAAGGGTTCACCAAAGAGTAAATCTGCCTCCCTTGATTTCTTCAAAAAAACACGACATCACTCCTCTGTAAGTGATGAGGGAGGTTTAGCTTTACCTGTTTCTACTGAAGGGCACTTACAGGCTGAGGGTGGCAACATTTCAATAGATGGTGGAGAAACAATGATTAAAGGCAAAAAAGGAAAGTTGAAGTTTGCAACAATTGGAGGTTTTAGCTCAAAAAGTAAAGGTTCATATGAAGTGACAGATGAAAGTGAGGTTAGGATTGAGGGTGCTGGTGGAGTTGCTCAGCCTTTAAAGAAGTCCAGAATGTCGTCGTCATCTAGCAGTGATAGTGGTTCAAAAGGTAGTTTTCGGTTACCACAACTCGAAATAGCCGTTTCGCCAAAGAAATAGTTTTTTACACTAGTATATATACACAGTACATTCAATTTTTTTTTTTTTTTTTTTTTTTTTTTTTTTTTTGATAACTACATGTAAATCTGTCTTTCATTTAAACAATAGTGCACTGTTTCTTCAATTTCCACAAATGTTCTTTACAGGCATTGATATTTTTTGAATCACAATTTAACTGTAAATAAGAGAAATCTTTTATGTAATTTTAATTCTTTTGTTTTGTAGATAGGAATTTCATGTCCAGTCCAACAATGTGTGTAGTTGATATAAAATATTCTGCATGTAGCTTTGATTTGTCATCTGATAACTTGTTATATTTTTGTACCTTTGAAAGTTTTGGGACTCTTGTCCTTTCTAAAATTGTCTGGATACATTTACACACAAGAGGCATGATTTTACAATACTTACATTTGAAATGATTTTATGACTTCAACTTCATTTATATATTTAGTGATGTATCATATGTACTCATCACAGATGAATAACTAATTACAACATTGATAAACCAGATATAATTTGTAAGCACAATGAAGTTTAAGGGCTGTACAAACTGTAAATAAATTGATTCAAAATGGATACATTTGATAACATAACATTGTCTCCCACATAATATAACACTTCAGATATTATGAAATGTACACAGAGATTATAATCTTCTAAAGTATTTATATCTAAGACTTTCTTTTCCATTGATTGATTGAATCTCTTTAAAATGCACACCAGGTAGCAGTTGACAAAGCTGCAACTTGCTTTGATTTTAATGGTTTCTAAGGCATTTTTTTCTTTGTTATATCTTCCACATTTCTTTATATCCAGTTGGCTCTCTCTCTTCCTCTCACTAAATTTATGAAATGTCGTGCTGTAATGTGGGGATATAACTACAGGGAATCTAATGCCAATGGTTAAACATTAATATTTTGAAAAGGCATACAATGTGCATTGCCCTTGTAAATAATGGGACATTTAGGCTTCAAGTTTAACTCTTTTTCTTGTATGAGTTGCAAAATTTAAATAAAGTGATCAACTTTCAATACATGCTTGTGGTGAGAATGTTACTCTTTTCATTTAAATCCTATATATTATGCTGTAAAAACTGTAAAACCACACACAGAACTGTTTTGTTGGAACATTAACTTCAGGATTAAGATCACTAAAGACTGCATTTGTTCAACCCTTTTAAATCTAACCATTGTGCTTTTAGCTTTCTATGAATACTTTGATAAGCGCCGACACCAAGAAAACAGGAAATGGGCTTTCCTGTCCTGCATGGTTCTTCAAATCATCACTAAGGAAGGAAATGATCAGGACATTCCTTTAAGGGAGGAAAGTGTGGTTTGTTTTGTATGCAAATATTCGTTAGCAGAACTGGGATGAGCAACTGCATGCATTCTTTAGTTAACTTGAAATCCATGACAAGGAACTTAAGCTGAGAGGAATACAGGCAAAAAATCCATATTTTTCTGATTTCATTTGAAAGGTAAGCCATATGATTTTCTTTTACTATGCAATGCTACTGCCATTACTCAATAAATTGAGTGGATTAGGCCGGATTATATGATTAGAAAATATGCTGTTTTATGCACTGGGTTAATTTTCAAATTCCCAATTTTTAGTGACACGGACACTCCGTGTCAAATTTTACGAGAGACAATATCTTACAGAATTGATTAGAATTAAACTGGTTTCCTATTTGTGTGCTTGGCATCATGTTATCGCTTCATTCCAAGACATGCCTTTTTATAAATCAAAGCCTAGAGAAGATGACAATTCTGACTATGATAATGATAATGATAATAATAATAAAAGTAATAGTATTAACAGTGCAAAATGACCAGTGGGTTAAGGGCCAGTGTGTTGAGTGTTGTTCAACATCAAATGCCCCTCTTTGTAGTTGCATATAGAATTATGAGGTATGCAGGTAGAAATAAACTATCAATATCTCTTTATCTGGTAAGAAGATGTTTGTGGATAAAACAACGAGCAGCAGCCTAGGCTGCTGAAGTCTCTTGTATCAAAGAGGACGCAAACAGACGGTGTCCATGACTCCTACAGGAATTAGAGGTATGGACTTATTTCAGTTCATACTGGTGTGTATTACAGCGACCCATAAAGCAAATATACATTTTGAGGTGGAATTCTCAAACAAAATAATCAGCAATATATGTATTTCTTAGTCAACCCCCTTGGCACTTTAAGGACAGAGATCATTTAAAAAATGTATATAATATATATAAATGATAAAAAAGGCTGATATGGCCATGGATATATATATATATATATATATATATATATATATATATATATATATATATATATATATATATATATATATATTGGATATGGATATTTAGTACTGATTTAAATTTGATAAATCTTCAACCTCACTGTTTAGTTATGGATCTTTAAAGCTATGTATTTAAGATAAATTGTTATAGCTTGAACAAATTGTTTTCTTATATCGATTCAAATTATCTTATTAATAAGATAAATGCACAATTGATCTACTGTAGTGCTGTTGTTTCATGGTCGTATTAAGGAGCTGCCTTTTATGACATTAACATAAAAGTATATGTAATGTTTAACTCAAACATAGCGATTTTCTCAAAAAAAAAAAAAAAAAAAAAAAATACATCAAAGAGGCTTCAGAAGGACATCATGGAATAATTGTATAGTTTAACATTATTCACCCAGATTACCCGTCATTACAGGGTATAGCTTCAAATTAGATTAGTTTATGCAACCAAAGGAAATTCATCCATCCTACATGCCCTCCACCCCCAGCTGTTCACTGTTTACATAATGCATCAAGGTACAGAAATTTGTAATTAAACAGTCTCACACAGCTGGGGTGAGAACATGACAGAATTCTCACCAACATTTTTTAGATTCAGAACAACTGGTGATGGCTTAATTTGACAATTTTGCTGTAGTACTATGTGCATTGCACAGATCAGATGATTCTTTCAAAGCCTGATCTCATGTTCTAATTACAGTTATACATGTTTTCAGTGCACTTTGTCATTGTTTCAAAACATAAGATTATTGTAATATGTTTAAGAACATTTGGTTTAATCACCAAAACAACAGTATATGATTTTTCAATTTAGTGTTTTTAACAACTAGCTAATTCAGTAGCAAACAATGCAAGATCATGTTTCAAATCACCCTTGTTACTGAAATAATTACAGTTATAGAGGCTATCAACTGTGGAACAAAGCTCTGAAACAATAATCGATCGTCATCTAAATTAAAAACAAAAAGGTAACACTTTACAATAAGGTTCCATTTGTAAACATTCGTTAACTACATTAGATAACATGCATTTACAATGAAAAAAACAAATAACTAATGTTAATTTCAACATTTATTAACACATCTTTCAAATTAAAAGTTATATAATGGACCTGAGCTATGAACTAACAATGGACAGTTGTGACTAGAGTTTAACTAGCGTTAAACAAAGATTGTAACAAATGCATTACTCATTAGTTGGTGTTAGTTAATGCATTAACTATTCCCAGACAGCAACAAAGTGTTTGCCCAGATCCGGCCCACATCTGGTACACGTGGATTCCACACATACCAGATGTGGGCCGACATTATGTTACTGTCTGGGATGTTAACTAAAGGGACCTTAATGTAATGTGTTACCAACAAAACCATATAGTAATGAAATCTGATGCAGACCAGAAAAAAAGAGAAGAAAACTTGGTACTTCTTTGATGATGTGATGCATATCACCTTAAAACAATATCTGTCACTCTCTGTTTCTTTTTTTCCCCCTTTTTTTATGTTTTGATTTGCAAATTTGTCTGAGGCTCAATGCACCTCCATCACACTAAGGAATGAAGCAAAGGGAACCTCTTCACCATAATGGATACCATAAAGGACAATGGTATCCATATTTTGAGCATAACAAAAGAACCGTGAACTGAAGGCACTGCACATGAATAAATCATTGACTGTATCTGCAGTATAAGACCAGCAAATCTTTGGATACAAATAGAGGCAATGAACAATATGACGCACACTGCAGTGCATTTAGATCCACCTTTTTCATAGGACAGGATAAACAACCTCAGCTGTAGAAAATGAATTAATGTTATCACATCCCCGTGTGCAAATATTAGCATTGTGATAATTATTATTATTATTATTTTTTTGCTTCATATTTAAAGGAAGACACATTTTTGTCTTTTTTTTTTCAGGTTGTGTGTTGTATAAAAAAATAAAAAATAAGTTCAGAATCAGAAATAATCAGTTGGTACAATCGCCAAAACAAGCAAAATAGTTTTAGGCATATTAAAACGAATCCACCGTTCATACATTTTTGTTATTTTGTTCAAAGTGCGAAGACTGTTTAAGATACTGCTTGAAAGATGTATATATAGGTTTCTTAATATACAGCATTCTTATTGCGATTCAACAGCATAGTACACAGTCAAATACTGTAGACATTTCCTGAACATTTATTAGAGATGAAACACTGACTGGTGCTGCAATGAAGAAGTCAAAACAGTGATACTCTTTGGTGTTTATCTGTCACTATGGCTTGAGACAGACAGTGAGAGAATAATATTTCTGCATGGTTTCCTCCTTCGTTGAGAGGCTAAGAGTTGTCTCCCTCGGGATCCCATCAGATGGGGGGGGGGGGGGGGGGGCTGTGTGAGAAGACATGTCTATGTGCATGCGTGAGCGAGAGAGAGCTGGAGCGAGGGAAAGAGCATGTGTGCACACATAAAGGAAAGGGGCAGAGTGTGAGTGCGAGCGCAGATGATGCTGCTCGTGGAAGGAGATGGTGCTGGTTTTGGCGTTCCTTCCTGTGCTACAAGATTTCCCCCACTAAGGTTTGACCTCTGCGTCCTGTCTGTTTGGCACCTCACCTTCTCGGGTAAGAGCTGTTCATTTTTTTGCTGCTGGAATCCGATCAGGCTGTAACCGTTCCTCATTTTTTTGTGTTTTTGTGTGTGTCGTATGTGCAGAGAGACACAGAACGACAAAGGGAAGGGAGGAGGGTGGAACAGGCAGAGGATATCATGTGTGTGCTATAAGTAAGGACAAGGAGAAGACAGAGTTGGAGAAGAGGGGAAATAAGGCACAAGGCAGAAGCTGCAGACATCGTCTCTTTTTTGGCTAGAACCGGCAACAAAGACAAAAGAGGTAAAGCCTCTGAAGCCGAGACTCAGACGTTCTGCCTCGTTATTCCTCGGATTCCATGTGCCAGTGCGATTGAGGGCGAATAGGATGTCTGTGTCTGGAAAAAAGGAGTTTGACGTGAAGCAGATCCTCAGGCTCCGCTGGCGCTGGTTCAGCCACAGCACTCAAACCTCAGCTGGGAATGGGGGCTATATCCAACAGGAAGGTTTCGACCACCGGGGAACACCGGTCCGGCTGAAGAGTCACTCTCGGGACAGAGGAGGACTTCGCAAGAGCAACAGCCCTGTGCACAGCATTCTGGCTCAGAACCCTGGACCCACGCCTGTTTATGTCAGGCCGGGCAATCAATCATGGCACCAGCAAAACATCATCCAGCACCTCCAAGCTAGCGAGGAGCTTCCCAAGAGCAACTCACCTTGCAGTGCCAGGAAAGAGGAGGCGAAGAGCAGCCATGAGGATGTGAAGAGCAATCCGGAGGATCCCTCTGAAGAGGAAGCCACAGACAGGTAAAAAAAAGGAAGAAGCTCAGTGCAGAAATAGAACCGTGTGTGAAGAGGTGCCTGCTGTTGTCAGCTAACACATTCAAGCGGCTAAGTTTTGCCTGTAGGCATAAAATGCATGCGGTTTGTAGATGAAAATCCTATTTCTGCCCTTCATGCAGTAATGAAAACAGACAGTACGGTGCTGAGAGATGAGCGAGGTGTTATTTTGGCACGGAGTGGATTTACGTTAAGCCCCAGGGAGCGTCGGGATTGAGTACAAGTACAGTATTTAACTGTCACTTTATTTGAGCTCATTACGCCAGTGAAATTCTCTCAGAAATGACAGTTTGTTTTATTTTCATTCGCTGTGTTTCCCGTGCTTAGGGCCGCCGCTTACACGTTGGTTTGGTCTTCAGAGAATATCATTTTTCAATCAACTCCACCATTGCAGCTGCCACCACAGCTCACCTGGGAATAGTTCATTCACATGGCATGCGGGTTGTAGAAACACAGCTCTGAAATATCCATGGATAAATTATTCATCAAGCAGACATCTCACAAAACACAGAGGAAAACATAGAGGCGTCTGGATTTAGCTGGCAGTATAACACATTCTGTAAGCCGTGAGGCGGTTCGCTCTTCATTTTAGCAGCCTGCATTTTCCTAACCTGAAGCTGGAATGTTTCACGGCTTGTTAATGCATGCATCCTCTGCCTTATAAATGTTACAGAGTGTATACCATTACATCAGAGACCATTGGCGCAAGGGCAATAAATCTGGGAAGGGCAACCGGATGAATTATCTATAGTGGGGATGATATTTACACATCAGTGCAGTTCAGAGAAAGAGAACATTTAATTTTCTTGCACCGATCGATCGAAATTTATGAGATTATAAAGGCCTACTACCTACTTCCACAGATACGTTTCAATTCACATATTAAGTGCTGGATGTTTCGAAGAGAATGGTCTTGTTTTTTTTCCACCAAGTAGCTCTGTCTAGTATAATGTCATTGTAGTGTAATGAAGGAAGTAAACATTTCCTCAGATAAGGAAGTTGAGAGACTGACCCACAATAAAAGATGATGTCATGAGAGATCAAAACCAAAACACACTCTTTTCTAAAGAAATGTTTCAACATAAAGTACATAACATTCTACACCTGATCAACAGTTGTAGTCTTTTATGCTTATACAGTCATATTTTATATATAAGTATACGACTATAACCGTTCATCAAGTGTTTGTGACAATATTTACATTAAATTTAAATCTTGGTTAACAATAATATACTTGTACTTGTTCATTATAGTGTGTCAAGTGAATCAAACATGTAATCAAATCAATATCATGATGTGCTGATTAATTAATCAGATATGTATAAGCTGTGAAATGCACCCTAATAAAAATATAAACGCATTACATTATTGGGAAGCAATAACAGATTCAAACAGATAAATGATTCAAAAACACATGCTTCTTACTCCACTATTTTTCTACCTTTTAAATTTTTTTATTGTACTGTATTAACATACTGTAGATGGCCATGGGTTGGTACCCACTGAAGCTCTGCTATATCTCCTGCTATAGACACATCTCTCGTGGAAATTTACGAGTCTATCAATATTTTAGTGTGATTTCGGCCTTTTATCTTTAAACAGTGTGGTAATAGAATCAATTTAGGTCAAATACAATAAATAAAATGGGTAAATCCCGCAAGATTATTCCTTATTGAGCCATCTTCACGTCAGTCTTATCCGCATTGCTTCTCTACGCAAGACATGAACTCTCAAACATCAAGTTTTGACCCTTTAAAAGCTTATGTTAATTACTTTGCTAGTCTGAAAGCTTTCTTTGTGTTAGTCCTCTGCACTGATTGATATGGTCTTGTGAACTTAAGTGCCATGACTTCATTCTTCATCTACCATAGAAAAGACCTATTTTCAGACTGAAATGACATTAGCTGCAACATTAAAACAAATTGCAAATGTAATCTTATACACCAGAAAACAATTAACCCCTGAAAATGACCTGCATGCTATGTTTTCATGAGCACCACAGTGAGGCTATCATGCATTGTGTTATGAATATTTAATCAGAGAATTAGATGAAACAAAAGAGATTTGATCTCTTAAGACTTCCCCACCATGTGCTTTAAATAATACCTCAGAGCCTCTAGGTATACAATGATACATCTGCTGTTACATATGTTTGTTATTCTGTGTTTTTCTTCCCAGTTCTTTTATCACTTTTCATTTAGTATGCGTAAATAAAGCATAAATTTGCCTTACAGGCACAACGTGATGGAAATGAGGCCTTTAATGTGCCTCTAGACTTGGGATTTTGTTGTGCATCTCTGTGTGCGAGTTAATAGTGAGATCAGACCTAGTTACCAATTGCACGTTTTTACCCAAAAGGCAAAATAATGACCATTCATTATTTATGCATTTTATTTCCCTGTAAGACATTCATCAGTAGGGGAGAGCTAACTGAACAGGAGGTGGTAAAGCATTGATAGAGTGCAGTCATAAATCAGAACAAGAGAATATGTATGTAAAAGTAAAATTATTAGCACTCATTATTTGTTATTTGGTTTCATAGGTCGTTATAAAAATCATTTAAACACAGAAATGTTCCATACTTATATTTAACATGGTTTAACAGTTAGGCTTATGGTTTCCATTCCCACTTCCGTTTGCTGTCCTCTCTACATTTGCACTGCTAATAAAATGATGAAAAGGCTAAGAAAGAGTTATTGACATGCAATGTCTCAAAACAAATGCACAATTATGTTAACTTTTAAATATATTCAGACTTAATACATTACTAGAAGAAGTGCCAAACCATGTCATGCCTAATAATGTAAGCTATATAAAATGTAAGCTATATTAATCTGATACAACACTCATAGATTTCATTACCAGTAAAACGTCAAACCGGTGGAACTTCAAAATCTTGCGAGGCAGCCAAGGCAGTAATGAATAAAATATTTTAGGAAAGAAATTAATCTGGATTCAGCCTGGAAGCCATATCACTATGGGAATAGATGAAAACTGCTGAATACTATGTTTAGAATGTTTCTTTCGATCTTCTGTAATATCGAGGCTGCTGACCTGCTCAGCATAAATAATTCAGAGGGGTTAATGAAATATCTATCTGTTTTAGTATTATTTGTTCAAACAGAAAGCGAGATGAAGAGGCGTATGACATATACTGAAATTACAGAGGTCATGGTGATTTTGTAATGATGAACTGAACCAGTAAAATAATGTTAGTGGAGAGCAGACTGGTATCCCAAGCAGAACTAAATATTTGTAGTAACCTAAATGGCTCTATGAATAAAGTTTAGAAATTAACATTAATGGTGTGTTTTTCATTCAGTTTAACATCAAATACAATATCTTACTAAATCTAACATGTAGAATCTCTAGTTACAAACATAGATGGTCTTTAAAGCTATGCTTACTATTGACACTCATTTAGAATAAATTCATATTTCTGTGAAACATCTGTATCTGATCTTTTCAAAAAACTGAGAGAAATGTTTGGTGTCCTACATATCCCTGCAGGCGTAAAGGGCTTAGCGCCCTGTCAGTGATCTGTGTTACCATTTCTTCAATAGTCTAACAAGCCGACAGCATGCTGCCTTGCAAAGGGTCATGGGCGTTTATCTACAACACTGTTATGCGCACATTAATAGTTCATTTCAAGCATTCTCATGAAATCACAGTGGAGAATCGTCTTTGGATCAAGTTTTTTTTTTTTTTTTTTTTTCTGTATCTAGCAGATGACCATATATATCATGACAGACATGAAAACATGTTTGATAAAATGCTAATGACCATTCAGTAGTTTGAATGCACTGCAATCATTTCATGAAATTTAGTGAAAGGTTAGGAGTTTAAAATGAGTATTGCCTTAGCTCACTGTAATGACTTGCCGGAAGTAATTTTGCTGAAGGATTTTATGTAAATCCTTTGTTTCCTTGTCTGCACACAGAATTATGGAAGCTTGTTTCCGGCCGCCACGTAAAAAAAATAAAATAAAGGTAATTGCAACTCACAACTATTTTTGCGAGTTTGCGATTGCGAGTTTATATCTCACAATTCTGAAATTACTTAATTTCTAGCAATTCTGACTTTTTTCCTCAGAATTATAAGATATAAACTTGCAATTGGGAGAAAAAAAGCCCTTAAAGGGACATGGGGATGGAAAAAAAATGTTTCAATGCGATTTGCGTTCCCCCGAGAAACTTTGCATTCGCTCGCAAAGAAGTCAAAAGGTTTGCAAGCGAATGCAAAGTTTCCCGGAGGGAACGCAAGGCAGAAGCATTGACATATCATTTCATATATTTTTCTAGCCATGTCCCTTTAGGGGCTCCGTAGAGTTGTGAGATAAAAATACGCAATACCTTGTTTTTCTTTCCTTTTTTATTTCATGGTGGAAACATATGGAGCTCCAAAAGGACATGGTAAAGAAAAAAAATACGATATGCGAGGAAAAAATATATGGCAATGCCTTTGCGATCTCTTGCAAATGTTTTCCATTCCCACGATAAACTTTGTGTTTGCGCACAAAATGTTTGCGTTCCCCCGAGAAACTGACACCCCCCCTCAAAGAACACAAAGGTTTCGCGAGCTAACCCAAAGGTTTTGCTAGCGTACCCAAAGTTTCTCAGGTGAACACAAACATTTTGTGAGCGAACGCAAAGTCTCTCAGGGGAACGCAAAACATTTGCCAAATTATTTTTCCTCCCATTTTTTAAGGCTTAGAGGCTTAGAATTTTGTTTTTTAGAGGATGAATATATGATTTAAATACATTTAGACTAAAAACATCCTATAGTCCTTATGCTAATCTGTCCATTAGATAGTGTACACAGTAATAATGCATTGGTATAATCACATGACAATCATTTTCACCTAGATTACATACCATTTTAACACTTTTAGGCTCTTAAATGCTGAAATTGTAAAAAAATATATAATAAAGTCAAGTCACCTTTATTTATAAAGCTCTTTATACAAT